TGGAGACTGTCATAAAAGGTAAGAATCTGGGGGCGGGGGGGGAAGATACAATAACAATCAAAGACAAGCAAAAATTTAAAAAATTTATTTCTTAACAAAAAAAAAATCACGAATTTATAAAAGACTTGATTTAATTAACACTGAATAGTATTTGGTAAGGTTCATTCAAGTAAACTTTTTTCCCACTTTAGTAGTTAATCTCTGCACTGCAGATCATCTCTGTCTAAAAATTTTAGGACATTCTCAAAAGGAGATACAAACAATTCAGACTGAACTCTTTCATGCTTTGTTACTTTCCAATGTTGAGGTCTCCTTTTAAAAGCATAACCAGATTTATTTCTTTTATGTTAGCAATAGTAGAAGAGAGATTCGATTATGGTTAATATTGTAACAGGACAATGACACCTAAGACTTAACGATTTGTAGTTTTGCACTGCGGCTACTTGGATATGTGTATGTTAAGCTGCTAGTTACTAATTCCACTTACAGTGCAAACTTGTCAACAATTATTAATTTCAAATTATTAGATTTTTATTTCAATTCAATTTTTAAGTATAACAAGTAGAACCAAAATGCAATAATTTAAGAAAAATATGAACAATATGATTATACACCAACAGTACAGTGAATATGGTCTGGAAAAAAAATAAAGGTTACAGCAGGCAATACGATTTTCCAAACCAGCAAATCTGTATGATACAATGTCTTGTGAAAACAACAATAATGTTTCTTAGCCCCATCTGACTTCATGTTTTTACTCATAACTTGCATAACCGGTAAAGAGAGTAATTAAGAATTTATAATGTATAAAGAACTGAAAAAAAACCCAAAACAGTTGAAACTAAGCAATATTATAGTAGCAATCCTGAGAAACACTGGACACTACGACTTTAAACCTATTTAGCTGGAATCCTTCAATTGTTAGATAAAATTTAATTCTTATGGAAAATTAAAAAAAAAAAGAATGTACAACTCCAACAGAAAATATATAATCACAACATGCACCCTAAATTGCAAATCTGAACAAACTACTATTAACTGTGATCACAAGAACAACTGACAGGACCCTTTAAACATCCTGGATAGGTAGACAGGACTAAACAGTGTTTGTTCACCAAGACAACGCATACTCATTAAGATATGCTGGTTAAGTTTACCACAAAAATTTTACATTGGCCTTTGTGAACACTTTTTCAGTTTGCGCAGCTACAGCTCAATTCAGTTAACACAAAAGTATCTCCTAGTAATATCGAGTATATATTTAAGAACTAACATCTCTAATACATAAGGTAACAACCTCAAATTGTACCCCCCTTGTATTGAATTGGAACTTGTGAAAGGAGCTGGATTGGACGGTTTGGAAAAGTTCAAGACATCACAGCCTGGAGAAACTTGTGTCCTGGTTCTCACAGTATTCAGAGTAATTCTAGTGCTAAAGTAATCGGTAATAAAGAACAACCTTAGAGCATCCTGTCCTACATAAGGAGTTCAAACCCAGCACTTTAAATCCAGCATAGTTTCTGCCTAGAAAAGAATGCTGTATTATTTAGTTGTAATGCCATTAAAATACTTCCTCCATAAGACAGAATGAGAGATGCACACTGCAAACAACCAAGCAAATTGTTCAGAAGTGTTTGAGCCTTTTCGGTACATTTTCACACAACAGTTTGCATGACCAGAACAAACTAAAGTGAAAAACCAGAACAAAACAAAGGCACAAGCGATAATGAGAAAATACGTCTATAATGGAGAGAATTGCAGTGAAAAAATAAGATTAAGAGCTGCTTCTTATCTGGGGGAGTGTATGCACGAATAAAGAAATTAAATGCCCAAAAGACTAGTACAATTTTTAAATTATACACCCCCAAAAAACTCAGATTAAAATAAAAAATTTTACTCTTATTTTGGTCATACGTATCTGTCACCTCAACGTACACGAATAATTTATAGAATCAAAAATTATCTATAAAATGCTCCAGTAAAACCTGTAGCTAAGGGGTATTTCAAGATAACTTACAAAATTGGCAACAATCCAGTAACCATTAATTGACCATGAAAACATTCTCAAATATGACAACGTTTAGAAAGCGATACAGCTAAATTCTACAGTTTTGTCCATTAGATTTTTTTTTTTTTTTAATAAGATACTGAAGTAATTTTTGCCATGGGCTTCCAACAGTAACTGGTTCATAAATCTGCAATCATCAAAATCTTAATCACAAACACTTTTTTCTAAAATTACTCTGCTACACTCACCTGGACAGCACTGAGGGTATACAGAAGATGAGGATCGTGACCTATGCTGGCACTTATTCCACCACATTCATGTTGACACGATTTGATGAATGACAAAATTTCTTCTTTGTTCATTCGGTGCAGCTGCCCCATGAGATCCATTGCTGTCAGTCCCCAGTACACACCACTCATCCTCAGATACTCTGACATACAGTATTCCTGAACAGTGCATTATTTTAGTTCTCGATCAGATAAGCACACCATCAATATAGTGCAATGAAAATACATTAGTTAACTTTCACAATTAGCTTCTAGTTAGTCAACCACTTCCATCCATTTAGCAATCACACATCAGCCACTCACGGATATTCTGTACATCGTGCACATGTGTATATACACACACATACAGGGAAATGCACGTGTAGATACCAACACATACTACACTCCCTTCCTCTCTGTATTTTTCTAGTTCAAAGCATCGAACTCAATGTCAAATCAGGCACGAACAAGTAGCTGTGTACCAATTCACTTCTGATCACTAATTATCTTGGCATTCAAAGAAGCCCTCAAATTGCCACCCCAACTAGTCTCAAAAAATAAAAAGTCTATTATTTCCCAGTGCCAAAACTCTCATAATTTGAAGTTGTGCTAGGAAGTGAAATTTTATATTGAATTCTCTTACACTGATTACATCAACTACACTACACAAACATTATTTTTAACATGCAGTACAATCAAAAGCAGCAGTGCTTGGCGTGCTTTTGTGAACAGTAAAGGTAACGGGAACTTTTCTTCACACAGGCAGCTGCTGACAATTTTCACCTGCTGGAAGCGGAATCCCATTGCTGTGGACTACATCCAACCACTTGTGACTACAAAATTTATGTAAGTTGTCCCATCAAAAGAGTAACATGCAAACGCAACTCTACTTGTGCATTCCAGTGGATGAAGAAGCTAGTAGCTTGTTTCTCAGGTCTCAGAGTAATTACAGAGCTAAAATGATAATCTTCAAATTTATAGTCAGATAATACATGCCAAATCTCATCACAGACCTAGAGAAATAGGCACCTTTATTTTATACTTTGGATGGCAGGGTAAAAACCAATTATCTTGTCAACATGCATCTAACCCTTAACTCTGAGACAATAAATAAATAAATATACTGTTAACAAAACCACAGCTGTACTGTAACAAACTGATACCTACACAGTCATCTTTCTTTGGTCCATATGAAGCGATATAGTCTGCATGTTTTTCTGAAAGTAATGTGCTTGGGGCATCGGGTTTTATGATAACATCCTTTTGCGGTGTCCCCTGTAAAAAGCACCAACAAGTCAGCTGTAATGTCAGGTCAAAACTTTTCAGTACCTTGGTATAATATAGCAAACACCGGTAACTGTGACTGGGAAAAGACATCTCTGTAGCTATTTTGAGCCTAGGTCAGGTTGCATATCTCACGCCATCACTGTTTAGCCTGGCTAAATCCTCCCCTGAAAAAGGCTGTGAACCAAACCTTGCAATAAAGCTAAGAAATAACACCAACTCGCCAAGAATAACCTGAAGTGCCGGACGCAAGAGCCCTTCCCCGGGTCCGGCCGTGCCGCCCCGCGCCCCCGTGAGGCCCGGCCCGGCCCGCGCGCTCCCGGGGCCGCTGTAGAGCCGGAAAGGCGAGCGCCACCCCCGTCCCCCGAGCGGCCCCAGTGCGACTCGCGTTCCTCCAAGGCCGATACAGCCGCGCGCCAGAAAACAACGCGTTCCCGGAGGCGAGACGAGCCGCAACCCGCACCCCGCCACCCACCATGTTTCCGCACGCACAGGAAGCTGCAAAGCGGAAGGCGGTGGCCGGCGGGGCCTCGCCGCGCCCGCCCGGGGACCGCTCGGGCCCCGCCCGCCGGCGGCTGCGCAGGACCGAGCGGCGCCGCCCGCCGCCCCGCGCCGTGCCCGTCGTGAGGCGAGGGGCGCCTGTGGCGTTGTGACTTGCTGCAGATGGTCTAGTCTGAAACAGGTAGTAAATGCAAAATACCTTAACTCCAGCTGTGCGCTTTCTTGCATCACAGCAAACAGGACAGCGTTTAGAAATAAATTCGGTTTCCTTCCTCAGCTCTATGGAAAAGCAAATCCCAAGAATTTAGTCACAGGTTAAATGAGTAAAGATAACCGTCCTTTTGCTCATAACCGTCTCTATTGCTTCCCAGTTAAGGAGGTCTTGAGTGATTAAGTTCATGATTACCAGCTCTTGATGCTGGCACATGTTCCCCATGAACTATACCAGGCGGGAACATCAAACAAGAAGTATTATCACGTAGGACAGTCAAAAATAAGGTCTATTTGTTACATATGTCAAATACTTACCAAAGATGTTGCATTATGAGTCCATCTGGAGGAAAGTCAGTAATTTATGGAGACTAAACACTTTCTTTAGAGAAGTAACTTCCTGGGTAGCTTACCCAAGAAGTAAGGATTGCAGAGCTTCTACGTGATGACAGTAATAGTACCACCCAGCATTAAATTCAGATGAGACATGAAAGATCAAACAGAGGCAAGGACATTTTGGAGGGAAATTAGAAATGACTTAGTAGAATTATTGAGGTTTAAAGATACCTCTTGAAATTTTGGAGCACAACCCACCTACACCAAGTAGGCTTAGCTAGAGCAGGTTGTTCAAGACCACTGCCTGTTGAGTTTTGAGTGTCAGATGGAGACCACCACCTCTGCCAGCGTATGACATCCCTCACAATAAAAAAATAAGTTGTGTTCCAGTGGAATCTCTCGTATTTTAATTTGTCCCTGTTGCCTCTTGTCGTGGCAGTGGGTACTACTGAGACTGGCTCCGTCCTCTTCATTGCATCCCATCAGGTGTTTCTGAGCTTTCTCTTGTCCAGGCTGAAAAGTTAACCTCTTCTCACACAACAGATGCTTCAGCCCTTAATATTTTTGTGGCCATATGTTAAACTCCCTCCTTTAAAAGGAGTCCCCGTTTTTCTTATACAGGGGAGCCTAGAACTGGATGCAGTATAGCCACCTGTATCCAGTAATTCGTTCAATAACTCCAGGGAATGTCCATTCTGCCAACATGGCCAAGAAGGATCTATCCAAAGTTAAAAAAAAAAAAAAAAAAATCAATCTAATTCCTTCTTCTTGGCTGTTCTTGCTGCATAGTTAAGTATATACATTGATGGAAAAGAATAATAAGTTTATATACGTGAGACATTAAGCTATTAGAGAGCATCCAAAGGACAGCAATGAAGATTGTGAAGGGCCTTGTGGGGAAGCTGTATGAGGAGTGGCAGAGGTCGCTTGGTCTGTTCAGCCTGAAGGAGTTGGAGGGGACACTCATCACAGTCTACAACTTCCTTGTGAGGGGAAGAGGGGTAGACACTGATCTCATCTCCCTGGTGCTCAGTGACAGAAGCTGAAGGAATGGCTGGAGCTGAGTTGGGAAGGCTCTTCCCCCAGAGGGTGGTCAGGCACTGAACAGGTCCCCCAGGGCACTGGTCACGGCCCCAAGACTGCCAGAGCTCAAGCAGCATTTGGACCGTGCTCTCAGGCACAGGGTGGGATTTTTATGCAGGGCTGGGTGTTGGACTTGATGGTCCTTGTGGGTCCTTCCCATCTCGGTGTACTTTGTGATTCTGTATTTAAATATATGGATTTTAAATAAAAAACATATTGTAAGTCATTCTTAAGGAAAAGCTACACATTTTCACTTGAAGCGATTCATCCTCATTTAATATGTACATGCTTCAGAGTGTAAAGGCCAGAGTCTCTCAAGCTGATACTGATACTTCTGGATAGTACATAAATCCTCAGCACAAACACGGTTCGTTCACTACTCATTAAGATATGCTGGTTAAGTTTACCACAACTGCTATTGCAGTTACACACAACTCTGCTATTGCAGAGAATAGCAATGCAGGCCTTCCAGCTGCCTAAATGGAATGTCTTTTCAGCTGCTTGGGGCAAGAGCATAAAGAAACTGAAATACGGCTACTAGCGTGCTTCATAATTTGTATTTTGGGTTAGTTGTCCAGTGTAAGTGATACGATAAGCAAAATGAATACAAACCAAACACAACTTCTCTTAAAAATATTTTATTAAAATGCAGCATTGACTGTCAAAAATTACATTCTGATTATCTTATTTTATAGTGAGAACAGAATTGGTGATTGATAATGAACCAAATAAAAGTATTTTGAAGGAATTATTTTCTTCATCCCTTTTTAATTCTATTGAGAAACACACTAAAATCTTTTTCCATAAGAACACAGACCACTACAGCCACGCAGGAGGCACTTTATACGTATTTTAAGCCTTAAATTTGCCAACGTGTTCACGAGCTATGATCATCCTTTGAATCTGGGCAGTTCCCTCATAAATCTGAAAAGAAGAAATGCAATGATGTTACTGGGTGATTTTTAGAAAGGTTTTAACAGATACATATTTGTAAACCTCCACGGCACTAATCCAGTGTGGATTAGGATGTGCAGGAAGACAGAAAAAACAGAGAAAATCCCAGTGTGACAGAGTAATTACAGTGGGCTAAATGGAATGTAACTCATACAAGATGCTGAGAAAATCTTGTTCTCTCAGGTGCTCTTACCTAAAGTCAGAGGGGCTCTCGTGCAGATAGGCAGATAGACAACATTCCTCTTATTTGAGGAAGAAAATACATTATTTAGCTTTTTCAAAGTAGGATATGAAATCATGGGTAGAAGGGAAGAGATAACTTGTCCTCAAGTGTTTTCTTTGACTAGCCTTTCAAGGTCCTACCACATGTTGTCTCGGATCCATTTGTTTCCATTGCTTCTTGTTAACAAGTACTCTCTCCCATACAATATTGCTTGTGATTTTCTCTATTCTTGCATTTTCTTCTAGTAACAGCCTGCATCACCCCTCTGTTCTGTTTGTTTGCTGGCAGCAAAGTCAAAAATAGACAAAAAAGCACCTATGAAGTTCTAATGCCAAAGGAGGATGTATGCTCCACAGGCATACTGCAATGGAATGCAAGGGCTGAGGCAACACAGTTTACCGGTCTTAATGTTTCTGCTCCCAGTTCTGCCATAACTTGATTTGGCAAATTGCTGAAAATCATGCAAATTCAGTTATAGGAATAAACTTTCCAGAAACCTTAAAAAGCATTTTAAAAATAAGAATGCTATAAC